TCATAAGCATGATGCAAAATCGAGTTCCTCTGACTCAACTCTTCCACAGCCGCATTCAATCCCTTACCAACTATCTTTCTAGATGTAGCCATCGTCGTATTATGAATAAGATGGAGTTTAGGAAATTGAGTTCTTACAACTAAGCTCTACCACACTATCTAGAGAAAGAAGAAAGAGTGACAATCCTAAATGCCCTGTAGCCTCCTGCTTATAAGTGTGGTGCATAACACACCCATAAACAAGACTCTACTAGACACGGCTTGTAGACTCCCTAGGACAGAACTGCTCTGATACCACTTTTGTCACGACCCAAACCGATGGGCCGCGACAAGCACCCGGTACCTTACTCAATGGAGTACCAACGTAACGTATCTTTCGTATCATTCTATCATAGGTAAATGAACCGGACTAAAGCATGAGGGAATACAAACTTATACATATGACATACTGCCCTATAAGACCAAAATGATCACTCGTACATTGAACATAGACCGATAAGGCCGTACAATCTTTCACATACACGACATATGTCTACAAGCCTCTAAGAGTACATAAATATCATAAAGGTCAGGACAGTGCCCCGCCATACTAATCAATACATGTCCTAATCATACTGACCACATAAGCAACTTCGAAGCAAATGGAGCGCACGAACACCTTCCGTTGAGCTGATAGCCTACTTAGAGGACTCTCAACCTGTCTATCGGGAACCGCGGGCATGAAACGCAGCATCCCCAGGCAAAAGGGACGTCAATTCAAATGATGTACCGAGTATGTAAGGAATGAAAATCAGTAAACAATAGACATGACAGAAACATGGAGTAAAAGACTCAACATGTAAGTCTGAATAACTCTATGAATCATTTAATATTATAATATCATGCATATGCGTATAAATGTCATACCATGCAAAGGTATATGCATTCATAACATCATCAAGCCTCTGAGGGCATCCCATCATATCATCTCGGCCACTNCATCTGGTCATGAGTCAATGTTCATATATAAATGAATGCAATGGATGAGAAGTATGTCAATAAAATCTCTCGGAACGTCATAAGACCACTATACCTTTGATTGATGTCATGAAATAAACTTTATCAACTTACGTATTTTCTGAGACCCTTGAAAAGATTATAGAACAATAGGACACATGGGGAATCAAGAATATAGGCATCTCTAGTATTTCTATGAATAGAGTCATTTATGAAAGTTGTGCATTTGCTCGTTTCGTTTGTATCGTATGGATCATGCCAAAAGGAAAAAAGGGATAGACTTAACATACATGAGACGATTCTCTTGATAATCACTCTAACACACGTCAATTGCGACAAAATACGTAACGGCGGATCGAAGTATGGGAGAATCCGTATGATATTCTTGAGAAAGATTGCACCGTACTCCCTTAGAATCGCAAAATTACGTTGCTATTATGCTAAGAAGTTTCGTATGAATCTGTTGCTTAAGCTAGTTATGTTGCTATGAAGATAAATATGTCTCTCTTTTATGAATTTTATCATAATCTCATATGAATTTTTTTGAATTTGAGAAGTCTTTCATGGCTTTTGTTGAAGTTGAACGTTGCCCTTCCCATCTCTTGTGAATTTGTGTCTTTTATGGCTTTGGCCAAGAGTCCCTCTAAAGGTGCCACCTAGCTTCATAATATCCTTAGTCACCTTAGGCTTGATTAAGCTTCACACTTGCTGTCACGTTGGGAGCACTTAGTCTTATCCAAATTATGCTTAATTAATTAGTTAATCTCTCATTAAAAATTAATAATTACCCATTATCCACATAATTAAGAATTATCTCAAATTACTTAAAATACTACTCACTTTTAAAATACTTTATACACCTTACTATTATGGTCATGTGGTACCTTGTATGGCATTAGTCCATAAATATCGGGTATTATAGCTTGGACCGTATTTTATCCTCAAATTGTCAAACTCCGACGGAACTCATTTTTTTTCGATTCGCTTACCCTCTCACCTTCACGAATTTACTTATCACTTGTTTGAAATAGCGTAATACTTATAATCTCCAATAATCTCATTCTCGAGCTTACGTCGATTAGCTTACGACGAAACTTTAATGTACGAAAATGTGGGATGTAACATCTCATTTTTGAGCTTATATCAATTTACCTATGTCGTACTTTTACGTATGAAAACATGGGGTGTAAAAAATCGAACCCTCATAGCCTTGCCATGGATGTACACAGACGAAATAACGTCCAAATCTCGAAGGGTAAAGCCGATTTTTCTTGATTCGGAGACTGATCTTGCCAAAAATAGGGCAAGTACTAAGTAACACCATAGTCTTATAAGTAACAATGAGGTACCGCGTAAAAGGTAAGTAAATCACAGAAGAAATCCATGATTTGATCGGATTCGGAGGAGATTGGGGGAGGCGTCTAGGGTTTCTGAAGAAGGGAGAGGGAGAGTGTTTAGGGGGCGACTGTCTTGGAAGAATGGGTGTTAGAGTTTGGGGCAAGGTTAAATAGAAGAGGGGAGATGGGTTGTGGGACGTTGATCTCTGAGATCAACGGTTGAGATGAAAGGAAGAGCGGGGCGGGTCAACAGAAGCGGGTCACGACCAGGGTTATTAAGGGAGTCGTCTGGTTTGAGCTTGGGGTTATTGCGCTACGGTTTTGGGGTCTGGGCTGGTGTATTGGGTCCGAAATTTGGCATGTTTTGGACAAGATTTTAAATAAAATAAATTAACAAAATAGCTATATAATATAAAAAAGACTATTTATGCAACTTAATATTTTTAAAAAATAATGGCTGAAGATTATAAAATATAAAAATTATTTTGACCCTAAATAAAATGGTAAATGCAATTAATTATAAATTATAGGCTATTATTGCAAAAATATGTAAATGGTTCAAAAATACAAATGTAATTATATGAAATGAAGTAAAATATTATAAAATATGCATGTGGGTATAAATAATAAATTCGGATAATTAAATCACCCAAAAATAATTTGAAGGGGTAATTAATAAATATTTGAATAATTTAAATGCAAGAAAATTAATTTTGAAGCTTTAAAAATTATATAAAATTATAGAAAATATTTATATGACTCTTGTAAGTTGGGTAATAATGCAAAATAATATTTTAAAAGTATATGAAATACTTTATAAAATATGGGGGCAAAATTGAGTATCAACAATAACTATATCAAGGCATTCAACAAAATGAACTCTAGCTGCTATGTCTTCAAATCATGTAGCGATAATAGCTACTCATGAATCCAGCCGAGAGTGTGTATGGTTGAGATCAATGACACAACACATTTTGTATTTATGTGGTCTTTTTTTGAAAAAAAAGATTCCAATAATATTGTGCGAAGATAATACTGGTTGCATAGCTCAGTTAAAGGGAAAATGCATCAAAGGAGATAGAATAAAATACATTTTACCAAAATTCTATTTCACACGTGATCCTTAAGAGAATGGGGAGATAGTAGATCCCTTCAAGTGACAATTTGGAGGATTTGTTTATAAAGGCATTGACAACATCAATATTTGAGAAGTTGAGATACAAGATTGGACTATGTCGTCTCTAAGATATCAGGTGAAGTATTCATAACGAGAAGTATAAACACATTGTATTCATTTTTTTCTTAACTAAGGTTTTTCCTCAATTGAATTTTCTTGGTAAGATTTTTAATGAGGCAGCACTCAATGTGTATTACAAGATTTGTGTATTATTTTTCCTTCACTAGGTTTTTTCTCCTTCAATTTTTTCTAGTAAGGTTTTAACAAGACACACTATCTATGGACATCCAAGAGGGAGTGTTATAAATTCACTGAATATGGATGTCCATTTTGTAACTCTTTGGCAATTCATGTACCAAATGAATGAATCCATTCAATTCTTGCAATTTGAGGAGACTCTTTTATAACCTATAAAATAGTATGCTATTCTATTGTGAAAGATAACCGAAAATACAAAGAAATACAATCAACCTTTTCCTCACTCTATTTTTTTCTTCTCTTCTAGAGCTTTATATATAATTTTAGCATTTTTTTACAACAAAGAACACATTGTTGAACAAGAACGTGCTCTTGGAAGGAATTGGGTTGAGTAATGGCTCTATTAGGGGTGGTTTTTTTTTATTAGAATTGGGATTCTAAAATTGAGGGTGGGTTATTCCTCCATGAGATGCCACGTATTCCTCTGTCTAAATTAAGAGGCTTATCGATGCCATAGTATAACGATAGGATCTGAATGAACCAAATAGTGAAATAAAAAGTAAATTTAAATTATTTTTTATAGTACATGAGTATATTTGACCCCTTTTCGATTCTAGTAATATAAGTCTCACATCATATTTCAAGTATGTGGTTTTCACAAATTTTTCTTTTTTAAAAACTTTTATTATGAAAAATGGGGAAGAGAATTACGCAGTGGGGTTAAACCCTCACCAAAAAAGTGAAAATTTATAGATGTAGTTTTCTTCCTTAAAAGAAACAGTAAATTAAAGTTATAGCATAAAATAAAAAATGATATCTCATTTCAACAGAAAAATCTTATTGATTGGAGTCTAAATATCTCAAATTCATGTCATAATCCGAGAAAGTAGTTTTCAAATTTCAATGGTCAAAAAATAGTTTTTTTTAAGAAAAAGAGTAAAGTTATTGATAGCTCCAAAATTTCATATCTCATATAATTTAAGTTGGTATCTTATGAGTAACATATCAATGAAGAACTCTTAATGAGTACATTCTAACAATATAAAGTTCTTGCAATAAATATCATGTAAGTAATTTCCGGAGCCCAATATTTCGAATAAACGTTTTTAGGAAAACCAATAAATTGTAATGGTATAACTTCATAAATTCATCTCACTCATTTTAGTTCCTATAGTCTATATATATATATAAAGCAGAGCCCAAAAAATCTGATGTGGCACCTCTTGTCAATCAGTATACATATTTTTCCTTTATCACAGATTTTTGGAGCTTTTCCCTATTTTACCTATTTATGTGCAATACTAAAAAACGAAAAGTCACTTTAATTGCGTCTCTTCCTCTTATTTGTTCCAATACGGCAATACATTGTTTCACTCCTCTTGCTCTTCCATTGAAACGCTTTCAGCGGCTTCTTTCTCTTCTTTACTTACTTCAATAAGTAAATTCCCTTTTTCTCTTTCTGAGATTTTTATGTTTTCTTTCATCGTATCCTGGTATTTTGTGTGAATTATATTAAATATACTCTATTTCCCTTCTTGAATTTAGGTTAATTGTTGCAATCAAATGTGCTTCTTTTGGCTATTTTTAAGATTATTTATGTGACTCTTTAATCTTTGACGAAATATTCATAAATTAACTTTTTACACTTTGAGGATTTTAGTTTCAATTATTTTAGTTGGACTTTTCTGAAAATAAGTCCTGCAGTCTAACGGACTAAAGTGCCAGACCCTTCCACTCCTCCATTTGTTCTACCAAAAGCAAAGACGAAAAAGGAGTAGAGAAAAATAAAAATTTGTACCGATCTGTTGCCGGAGATGTAAATAAAAATATCGTAATGTTTGGTAATTGTGCATGAAGTATTCTAACTAGAAAGGAAAAGTTGTACCAATTGGTAGCCAGGAGATGAAAAAATCTCAAAAAGTTCGGTATTTATATATGAATTTCCTGTCAAAACTTTATGACCTTTGAAATCTATTTAGTTCTATTCCATATACAAAAAATTTCATGGCCCAAAATCGATTTATTTTTTATTTTTCTTAGAACTACTTTTTCGGATTAGTCTTTGTCACTTCTGCTGCAGTATGAAGATCGAAAATGCTGGTTGTTCAAACGTCACCCGCATTATGGTAAGCCACCTTTGTTGGAGTCTTTGAATTCTTTTTATTCAGTCAATTAATTACGTCTCAATCTCGAAATAGTTGAGGTCAATTAGATAATTCTTCTGTAGAACTGTTATACTATACATATTACATAGGTGCATTGAATTTTTACTCACAATATATGTAAAGTGAAACTTAAATCCATTTTGATTAGTCTCAATCTTTTTGGTTTTAATGTTGTGATATTTGTAATGGACAAAAACAAGGAATTCTTCTAGATACAGTTCAAATTCGTACAAATTTGAACCTTTCAATCAAGAAACCTTACATCTTCTATGATGGTCGGTACATTATGGACTGTGATCTCAGTTCATTGAACATTTTGATTTAAACGTATTTCCCACAAAATAAAAATATCTTGGCTTAGCCTCATGTGAATCCTGTTTGCAAACATGAATTCTTTCTTCTTTTCACCCTCAACCCAAAATTATGTTATGTGTCTGAGTAAAAACACAAGTCTTAGAGTTTATCAGAAACAGAAAAAGGTAGAGGACAAAGAAGAATCGAGAAAGGACAAGCAAAAAAGTAGGACTTTGTTTGTGATACATATCTAATGTATGCCCTTTTATCTACATTCAATGGAGAATTTGGTCTGGCAGTTCTTCTATGCAATTTCTACTTCTGGTAGCAAAACTATGTACTCTTGAACATGTAGGTAAGAAATTAACTTTCATTTCAAAGCATCTAATCGTATCTGATGAGATCAAGTTGCGCGTTTTTGTGCTATTACTATGAAGGATTGTAACTTTTTTCTACTGTCATTATGTTTGGTTGAGACAGACTACTTTCGGAAAAAAAGGAGTCGTATGGTTTTGCTTGTGAGTTCTATATAGCCTTCCTTTATTCTAGACAAAAAGTGACATACCAAAATACTTGATGTCAGGAATCTCAGTGACTTCTTAAAACAAAACAAAGTGATTGCTCAGCCTTGGAAGATCATCACTGTTTGGGACGACATTATCTGTTATTACATTCACTCTTCAACCAAGGATAGTTGCTCAGGAGTTTCAATATCTTCTGTGGAATTTCCTAGCTAATAATTTACTTGCTGAAAATAATTTCTATGTTGCCATTTTCTCTATCTTTTCATCATTCTTTTTATCTTGAGAACCTTATAGTTATTTAAGAGTATGAATATGTTGTTCCCAAATCTTGTATGCTGGTGGAGGAAGATATAGGATAAGTGTACTTTTGAATAGGGGAGTGAGAGCTTTATTCATAAATTTGTGATTAAAATTTGATCGCCAAGCAAAAACCTTTATGGTAACCTTTTGTATCAATGAGATTATTGTTTCTGTTTATTTCCATATTGTGCTATTTATTTTCTTTTAATGCATCTTTCTGGATCTCTCTGTATTATTTTGATTGTTGGAAAAAAATTGCTGAGCATTTGAAAATATTGTTTTGTTATTTGGTCTTTATTTGTAGGAAACATATATATTGGTTCAGTTTGTCATCTTTCAAGGAATTGAAAGTACGACATATGTTTGTTTTTTTTGGTTCAAAGAAAATACAGTATATCACATGGTTGATAACCATCTCTAATAGTTTTATCAGAGTATATTTTCTCACTTTTAATATATGTTGCTAATTAATACTCCTATTTTATATGAAAAGTTTATATTGTTGTAGTTTTAATACGATTATTTTTTGTTACCTTATATTGTATGGTTATTTTTTCTTTTAATTTATATATTTAATTTATGAGTTCACCTTCGTAACTCACACCTTTTCATATTCTACTAACGCTCTCATACTTTAATCTTCATAACTCCCAAATACTGGAGTTTTTTGTTGTTTAATCAGTTTAGAAATATAAAGCTAGAGGGTTGAGATGGTCTGGTATTGCTAAAAGGAACAAAACAACTGGGAGAGTTTGGTAGGATGACCAAAATATTTTTTTTCCTTTGAGAATTTTCTTTGTTTTAAATTAATATTGTAATGTTATCATTGTTAACGTGAAATTAGTTATATGTTGTGTGGAGCGTTAGAGCTAATTAATCAAAAAAAATATTTATATTTATGATTTAATCTACCTTAGAAATTAATTTTTGTATGCATACATGAAATTTGTTCTTCTACCTTTACCAATTTACTAAAAAGATCAATAAAGTATCTTATAAATAAAATTTTAACGATCAATATCACTAGTTTATAGATAATGTGACAGCATAAATCTCTTAATGAGTACATGCCTTGCAAGCAATTTACAGTGCTCTTTTTTTTTTCTTTTCAAAAACGTGTATATCCCATATTAAGATGAAGTAATTACTTATATTTTTCTGTAATTTCATGGAGCAATATAAAATCACAGTATAATATCACTGTCATGAAAAGTTTCACAGATAATCGAATATAAATATAGAGGACATAAATTTGAACAAGAAATTTCACTACAAAAAAATTAAATAACCTACGAACTCATCGCTAATTTATCTAAATAGCTCGTAGATAACATAATTCTTTAGATAATTTACACCTAAAAATAGCGACGATTTTATTATTTAGCTACATAATTTCTCTGTCGCTAATTCCTGTTTTTTTAGTAGTGACTTGTATCTCTTCTTTCGCAAAGGATTATTCAAAGCAGATCACCATCAAAAAATTTCCGCAAATTAATATAATGTTATTTCCTTGAAAAACAGGGCTTTGTTCTACAAACAAAATGCAATTCACAGTAATATATGTCGACTAGAGGATAGGTTGCAGAAACTTTTTGAAGTTTCTGGTTTTTGTTTTTCACTTTTTGACGACGTTCTTGATATTCTTGAGAATTATTTTTAAGAAAAAAAAAATAAAGATACAGGAAGTTAAAGTTACTCCTGGTAACTACTCATAGACGCTGTTATAATCCCTTTTAATTCTCTTTATTTACTTCCCCTAACTGGGTCATTGTCAGTCCTTAGGTAAGCCAATGTTGTCTTGCTCGATAAACCTATAGCATTATTTTCTTGGTCAAAACGTGCAATTGTAATTAGTTTATTTATATATTATGAGAAATTAATCGAATAAATAGAAGTTACATTGTAAATGAAAGTTGAATTAATTTAATAAATGGAATTATTAAAAAATTAAATAAAACGATATCACTAATCAAATAATTTGAATGTCCCAAAATAAAAACAAACGGACGGAAAATAGTGAAAGCCGTGTTCCTTGCGCTGTAACAAAGATATCTGCCTTGAAATAGACAATGCATAAAAAGAAACTTGAAAAGAAAAAAAAAACTAGTACAAATAGCCCATTTACCTTTGGACACCGGAAATCCCCCCTTAATTTCGTGGAAGAGGGATTCTGTGCTTCATTTGAATAATAATCTTGGGAGCAAGTGAAATGGGGAATAAGGCGAGAGCTTTCGTTCTTTCTTCCCCGTTTCATCTGCTCCTCTTTTCCCTGTTATATTCCTTTATCTCTTTCCCCGTGGCCGTTCGTGGAGACGATGTTAATCCCTTGAGATTGCCTTCTGAACAAGACAACCAAGAAATCTGCCCCTTGACGCCCCGGTTGGTAACAGATAATTATTCTTGCCCCGTTAAGTGCTTTCGTCCTGACCCCGTTTGCGGGGTCGACGGTAAAACCTACTGGTGTGGTTGTGCCGATGCAGGTTGTGCGGGCGTGCGTGTGGTGAAACTAGGTTTTTGTGAGGTGGGAAATGGAGGGTCTGCACCGGTTTCAGGCCAAGTTCTTCTTTTGCTTCACATTGTTTGGCTTATATTGCTTGGTATTTTTGGATTGTTTGGCCTTCTTTGATTAATTGATTCGATCAATGTGTATTGGTTTTCTTCGGGGTAAAGGAAAAAAGATTGATCAACTCCCTTTCTTGCTACTTGATTCTGTCAACTTCTTTTTTTTATTTTTTTATTTTATCATTTTCTCTACCTGATAGAGGTTAGATTCTTTTTTTTTTTTTTTTTCGACAGTGNTTTTTTTTTTTTTGTCGACAGTGCGTTTTGTAAATCCAGACTTTGGAGTAGTAAATTAATGTTTCCGTTGTCTGAGGGAAATTTATTGTGTTTACCCGAAAAATGGATAGAGTTGAATTTATACATAGTTCCGAGAATATGTGGCGTAACTTAACACAAAATGCAAGGATAAATAAAAAGTGTAAATATAGATTGGGGAGAATGCTAAAATAGATAAGGTTATCAGGAACAATGAATCTCAGGATTCAATAAATAGAATCAATCTAAGAAATCTGAAAGAACAGTTCTTTTCTGTAGAAGAATATAGCCCTTTTATTACAATGTAAGCCTTGAAAAAACTTGTCCTACAGAAATAGTAACCAAGCCCTTTTATAGTGGAGGGATTTGGCTCTAAGCATAATAAAATAAACATTCAGTGGGAGATCCATTATAAGTCAGCTTTTCCATAGTTTTTGCCAAGATTCTCTCTAGTGGGATTGCAACGGCTTTTGTCTGTGAGCTCGATCTTGCTTAGAACCCTCGATTTTAGTTTGAGCTTGATTTCGGCTCGAACTCATGATCTTGGTTCGAGCCTGATCCTGGCTCGAGCCCTCGAATTGATTCGAGGTCAATGTCGGTTGGTCTCTGGATTGTCAGCATGGTAGATTTTGATTCGAGCTTGGTAATGATATCGAACTTGACACGGATCGGCCTCCCTAGGTTCGAGGATAGTTTGCTCCACCTTCGGGATCTCACTTTGATAAATCATCGTTTGAACTCGATCGGACGTGCTAAGGCCGAAACCTATTTCGACCGTATACAGATAGTCCCCTTGTTTCTCAGAAAGAATGTGGCGAGAAACGATATGATTTTTTAACAGCTCGATCGGATTATATCCTGTTGTTTCCATCGGGTTCGACCATGATGCATCTGGTAGTTGTCCCGTCGGTTTAGTCTTTCAAGGCATTTAACGCATGTCAGGTGGTGGTCGGCCACTGTTGATATTGGACCGCTATCGCTTGGACCTATAAATAACCTCTATTTTATCTTTTACCATTTTTATATCTTCTATCTTCCAAATTTCCCAAGTTCTTCTTCGTACTCTCCATCTTACCAGTAAATTTGTGATTTCTTTCTGCAAAATTCCTCTTCAATTCTACCAGATCTTTGTCCCTTTCTTCTACTCCCCACCTTTGAATTCTAAAATGGCGAAAACATCGCAAACTATTCCTTAGAAAGAGAAAGCTTCATCTTCAGAGTGTGCCGCCGATGAGACATCGGCAGAACCACGGCCTGAGGAGTGTGTTCCCGGAGCGTGTGTCCTTACTTCAGATTTTAAGGTCGATAAAGGTTCATCGGTCCCTGGCCGGTGTGAGCCTGTATCGAGGTACATGTGTTCGATAACCGAAAAGCACTTCGAACAGCTAAAGAAAGATTGCAATTGGGGTGAGAAAGAAATAATAATTCCTATGCCCGACGAATATATCACTTCTTACGTGAAAGGGTTTTTGAATGTGTATACTTACCCTTTCACTTTGGGTCCCTTTGATTCTGTTATTATTGACTTCTGTCGACAATACCAAGTAACCCTAGGCCAGGTCCATCCTTCTTTGTGGCGGATCGTTATCCTGATCCGATATTTTGTGAGCAAGATCGAGGGGATGCCGTTCACCCTCGATCATCTTATCCGATTGTACCATCCTCGACTTTTTCGAGGGGGGTTAATAAAACTCCTGCGTCGGGCTACCAAGGCTCTGTTCTCGAGTATTGACGAGGACAGGGACCTGGGTTGGATGGGCAGGTTCGTTCGAGTAAGGACTTCGGACCTGATCCCGACTGAAAAGATGCCCTTTCCCGAGGAGTAGAACATGAAACGTAAGTGTGATCTTGCTGTTACTTCTATTTTCTTCTTTCATTTATTCTCTCATCGACACTTCCCCTTCTTCTTGATGTAGCGGTTCCCTGGATGCCCGGAGCAATCCCCGATCTCAAGAACTGGGTACGAGCCCTTGTTTCGACCTCCACATACGCCGAGCGCTCATGGCGTGGTTTGTCAAAGGGTCGGTGGGAGGCCAAAAATTACGGTAAGCCCATTTCTCGGACTCTTTGATGATCCGAACGAGGCAATTTTTCAAAATATTTTATTAAGGTTTCCCATATGCAGGTTTGGGTAAAGACGCGATTTTGAGGCCCTTGCCCAATGAAGAGGGAATTTCGGCCTCTGTCCCAAAGTCGGTGAAGGAAAATAAAAGGAAGAGAGCCTCGGTTCCCGAATATCCAAAACGAAGAAGAGGACGTCTCGTAAGCCGAACAAGAATGTCATTCCTTTGACCGTGGAATCCGTTCTGCGTCTAAGGGATGAAGATGAAGAAGAAGAAGAAGAGAACGATGAG